AGCCTAACCATGTCCCCTAAAACCTCTCTTCTGGTTACCCCTTCTGTGTTTTCAATTTACCTCCCTAAAACCTCTTCTACTGCAGCCTGAAAACGCTTGGGCACACAGGTCTCCCTACGCTACAGTTGACACAGCCTTTGACATCCTATACCCTACCTACCATTTGTCCTCCACACTTGCAGGGAAAATTCTTCTTTATTTCTTATTCTTTCAGTCCCAGAAGTGAACCCAGGGCTTTATGTATGCTAGAAAAGCATTCTACCAGGGAGTTGCTTTCCCTTTCTCTTTCCTAGCCAAGCTTAGGGTTGCTATAATCTACTTCCCCGCCCTATGCCTTGGCGCCCTTCTGAAACTCCCCTGGCCATCAGACAGTTCATCCATCACTGCTACTGCTGACGTGACTTACTCCTTCTGAACTCTCTGTTCCTTTAGCTTGTCTCACTTTACTCACTCTTCTTTCATTATTGCTTCAGTAGCTCTCCTTCCTCGGTCTGCCAATTAACTCTAATGTTCTCCAGGACAGAGGAACGAAAACTCCCTGGCCTTCACTGCATAGATTTTTCCCCAAGTTGGTTTCACTTACTCCTAAATTGTTCTGTGTGGCTTAGACCTCTTCTTTAAACTTGGAAATTATTTACTGTATTCCTTACTAAGTGTTTCCCTTTATCCCTCTCTGTAGTTACAAAATTGAACTTGTCTCAGCCATAGACCCCAACACTTGTTAAGTACCATATGTGCCCAGTTGCCAGCCTGTAAAATTGGACATTTTTCTTGACTCTTTGCTCTCCCTCAAGATTCCCGTACTCACCTGGTATTATTGATTTTCATTTATTAAATCTCTCATCTGTTCTTTATTAGCACATGGTTTTCTTTTCGTAATTTTTCTCTTCAAGTCAAACATCTAGATGCTTTCTAAAGTGCTATTCAGTGAGTAAACTTGTTACAGTCACCCAATAATCAAAACTCTTGTAAGTACCTGTGGCATCTCTCATCTGAGATCTAGGTTCCCTAACAAAACATACAACAAAGCTCCAAAAGAATTAAAATAGGATGTGTATTACTTCTGTGACTTTGCTCATACATTTTCTGAACGTCACTGGCACCCCACCTTCCTCCACGTGCATCTCTGCAGCTCCTGTCCCTATTTTGGGACCCAGATGTTTCCCAATGATGCCTTCACACACACCGCCAGCTGCCAACCATCAGTGCCAGTATATGCTGTACCTTCCTTAAAATGTTGTGCACAGCTGTAAGTAGCAATAAATACCAAGAAAATAAGTAGGGCACAAATGAATATTTTAAAATATGAAGGCGTATTTATTAAAATAAAGACCACTTTTTAAAAAGAGTATTAATTAACAACAGGTAACATGATAACCTTTGTAAACATATTGGTTTAAATATTGAGTGTGTTTTAGAATGAATGCACAATGAATCAAAGATAATTTTGTACTGGTTGACATAATCTGGCAAGAAGATAAAAGTTTTGATTCTGAAGCTTAGTTAATATTTGTCTCTTGAAGTAATATTTTAAAAGTTTGGAAAATATTATGTATGCCTCAGTAGTTCTATGGTTCTAAAGGGCTAGACTCATAATTCTTCATGCTATGATCTTATAGTACAGTGACCAATGAAAACCTAAATTCTTCCAATGGACAGCTCAGAAACTGAGAGTGCCAGACTGAATTTACTGGACTCCTCCCATTTAGAAGTTTTCAGATATCACACAGCTGGACTAGGGCTCCCTTGGAGTTATATAGCTATATATTCCCAGGAGGAGAATTTCTAGATGAAAGTCTATGTTACCTTGAAACCTAGGCAGGAAAACCATACCTGGAGAGATTAGCACCACTTTCTTTATTCAAACTCAATAAAAATGTCACTTTTCCTTTTAAGTGTTCAATTATTTTGACTCAACTTGGTGAGTTAGAAAGAATTTGGATATTTTAGTTCCAAAGCCATTCTGCAAAAGAAAGAGCTTGAATTTTTCAAATAAGAACAGTGCAGCGAGAGCACTGAGACATTTCTGGAAATGAATTTAACTTCTGGATATGCAAACAGGTAAAAAGGAGGAGACTCATAAGGAGATGATAAAGAGATACAGAGAGTAGAGTTCTTTACTGATAATAAAGAACAAACGAAGTAGAAATAACTCAACGGAGGAAGAGGAAGCATGCAGTTCTCTGCACACAAGAGTGGAGGAATATTTGAATTAAGATGTCAAAAGTAGAACAATTTCAAGTGATGATAAAATTCAGAATAAGGACACAGGAGCTACTGACTGAAAGAGACGGGGGCAACACTCACTGTATTTGAAATAGTAAGAAAAGGAGCGGCTGCTGAATAAGAATGAGGTTTCAGAAGAATGTTTACATCGCTCGGGATGATGGCGGGAATCGCGATGCGGACTAAAGCCAGGTACAAAATCATCAGTGACTTCAGAAGCATTAACAAGAGGTCAACAAACGCGCTCAGCGGTACTACATACAAGGACACAGGAGGTTAGGATGGTAAGAGCAAGACAGTATGGAAATACATACAAGAGGGTGGACAGGTAACGAGATGTGATTTTATGTCTCCAGCAAAAGTTAAGGAAAAGAAAACTTCCAAGAATCTCACAACAAGTGGGGATGGAGGTTTGAGGGATGAATACTGCAGAAAGTAAGCAAGCCAAAAGGAAATGCTCCGAGTAGCTTTTAGAAAAGCAAAGGTGAGAAAGACGAAGCTGAAAATTCCGGTCACATATATCGCGCAGGGTGCATAGGAAAGAACCACACAAGGAGTTGGTGAGTGCGTACAGACATTTGGGGCCTTGGTCTGGGGAGCAGGTTTGTGAGCATTCAATGTATTACTCTGCTTTGGAACATATACACATTCTCTTGTATGTATCCAAACGATATAACAGGGGCCAGGCGAGGTGGTGCACACCTGCAATCCCGGCTCTTGGGAGGCTGTGGCAGGAGGATCACCACAACTTTGAGGGCAGCCTGGGCTACAAAGTGAGTTCGAGGCCAGCCTGAACTACACAGCAAGACCTCGTCTCAAAAGACAAGAAAAAGAAAAAAAAGATAGCATAAGGTAATGGGAAAAGATAATATTTTTAAATACTGTAATTAAGAAACTTCAGTTTTACAAAATCTACCCTAATTGCCTATGGGTAGTGTACGTTAAACTTAGTTCAAGCTCTCATGAGTTTGTGCTACCCTAGGCAAGACAAATACCTTAATGCATATAAAATAGACATGCACATATACACACAAGTCTTCTAGTTAGACACTGATAACATTTTATAAAACAAACTTTCCTGTGTTGTTTTTTAATATAAACATGAATGATCTTGTTTCCCAAGCACAAACAAAATCATGGCACAGAAGACAATTCATAAATGTGTCCTTCCGTATAGGCAGGAAAGCCACGATTGCAAACCCGGGAACGTCTAGGAAAGTGATAATCAATCTAGAAGTGAAGAAGACCTGAGTCACTAATCCACACTGTGGACTGAAAAACTGGCATGAGGCAAACGATCTACCTACAGGTAACTGAGGCTAAGAAAAACACATGGCACATGATTTTAACTTAGAATGAAAAGAAGAGATAACAGAGTAAATAGGGACATGTCTAGAATCCGATCACTCACGCATGTCACCCACCTTAAGAACAGCCTTGGCTGAGTGTCAGGATACAAGTACATAACTACTTTTTAGATTTTGAAATATAAACATATGATCATTACAACCAAAAACTAGGCCAAATGTATTATTCAGAAGCAGTAATAATAAAACAGAACAACAAAATGTAGAAATTATTTGGAATTACAGCAAAATAACAGAAAACAGACTGAGAAAATGCAAAAGAAAATTAAACATACCAATAATCAATACTATATAATTCAATTGGAAGGCAACAAATTTCAATTATATTTATGGAGAGACTTCAGAAGATTTGAAATATTAGGAATTTCGTTTTGGTCTTCTCTCTTGTTTCCTTGCATGAATTTAAACACTTGGAATTTACTCATTGGTCTTCATGATTTTTACAAAACCGTTATCAACTCTTCACTGACTTACAGGAACAGGATGAAGGCAGTCACGTATAGCCCCAAATCACTCTGAAACAATAGTCAGGGTGGCACATAGCCCCTCATCTATCCTAGGTGAGCCCACTACCACACCATCACAGCCGTGCTCTACTTTGCCTAAAGGTCCTCGAAATGTTCCCAACAAACTGGCTCAAATTGCTAAACTATTGCCTCAAGAATTATACAAAGTCTTTCAGATGTTTTTCCCTCCTACTTCTAGTTCTCTCCCCTTTCTCCTAAATGTCAGGTAACTGGTATTTCCCTCTGATATGCATTACACTTCTTTAAATACTACGGAGCTGGACTACATAGGACTCACTGGAAATTCCCACTTTGGAAAGAGAGATAGAAGCTGGGTACAAAGGAACAAACATTTTCTCATAGAGCCAGGATTCTCCACAGATGCAAGCTTCTCTGCTATGGCCAAGGAGCAGATAGATCACAGTCATCTTTGACAAGGTAACCACAGACAAATCGGTTCAACCTGAACACTTCAAAGGCAGGACCTTCTGCTCTGGAGCACATAGCTAGGAAAGCAGGTGGTAAGGACACATATGTACAAATAAGCATTGCTGACTAATATCCAGTGAGGGACTCTGCAAAGGAAGGCAAGCAGTCGAATGAGATTAATTTAATCCCAATACTGTTATTCTGTCCTTGTAGACAATAAACAAACTGTAATTCCTACTGAACAAAATTTTTAAGATATTAAAAAAGATGATTCTAGCACACCAAAGAGAAACTGTATTTTTGACATTCTATCATAATAGTTTATATACACATTTTGTTTCATAAAGTTTCTATATTTTACTAAAAACCACATATAGCTATATACAACACAGAAGTGAAAGTGAATTCTTTTACACCAATAGACAGGAACATGCAATTCTACAAACAGATTCAAGTGTAAGAAAAAATATACCTGTGACGGTGCCCATTGCTCTGACTGTGTCTGGAGCGAGGTAGAGTAAGAAAATGACTGCAAGCATGGCAAAAACAAGAATAGAAATGAGACTCGGGAAAGAAGTGAAAGTTTAGCTTTAAAAGAGAGATTCAAAACGACAAGTGGACAGTAAGTAAAGCAAATGAAAACCGCTGCTAGGAAGCTCACCCCTCCCGAGTCGACTGCAACATGCCAGAAGCACAGGCAAAAGGGGGCTAAATATTCTAAATAAAGTGAAACAAAAACATAACACTCTGCAAAGTCATATTTCACAATTATAATTTTATGAACTGTCACTCAACTGTCTTCAGCACTACTTAGACAACGAGGTACTGTAGGGGTGCTTTCTTGGTTTTTAGATGGGAAGGTGAAAAGAGAAAAGCAATAAGAATAACTAATGTAAGGAAATAATAAAAAGGCTATGCCTATAAAACTTAGGAATTTTGTGAGGCAATTATTTTCCCTCCACCATTAATAATTAAAAATATCTACAAGGTGCTTTAAAAATTCTATTTAGTAATAAAAACAAACTGATTCAATTATCTTCACTTAATCAGTGCTTGCATTTGTTGAATTCATTAGTCGCTGTCCATTTTGATTTCCTTGTTTACTATGTATTTATTTCACATTATGGGCTCCACGGCACTTCACGTCCCAAAACTGCTGCAAGCGATCAAGCGGCACTAACCCGTTACCCATCTGAGGCTGATTCTCTCCCTTCCAAGACACCAATTTAAATTCTTCTATTCTCCTAAATCCTTTAGTACCAAGATACTTATGACCGTCACGTTCCAGCAAACCACCGGTGAGTCCCGGCGCTCCGCCTCTGTGCGGGGGCTCAGCATATACTTGCGTCCTCGCTTTTCTTGTCTTCGGTTCCGAAGAAGAAACGCTTCCCACGTGACCTTGCTTTCTGCGTTACTCTCTTTCGCCTTTCTTCATCTGCTCTTAACCCTAAAAATAAAGCCTCTGCTAACCTCCCTCCTTCTCAGACACTGCCATCTTTCTCCTTTCTCTTCACCACCAAACAGCCTGAGGACATGTTCACGAGCCTTGCCACCTGCGCTCGCTTCCTGTGATGCCTCAAGCTGCGTGTGCTGGGCCTCTGCCTCCACCGTCCTCCTGCGGCTCTGCCACACAGGCGAGCCGTGAAATCCTAAACGTTTCCCTCATCTCCACTCGTCCTCACAGTACGCTTACCCATGGAAGGAGACCTTGATTTACAAGCTCCGTTTTCTATCCTCCCTTGGGTTTTGGAACTATTGTCTCTGGCTATTAAACGAAGTATACATAACATTCAACTGCATGTCAAGCACTCCCTTAAAAGCCTTGTCCACATTACTTTGTTTACTTCACCTAACACCCTCTGAGGTAGGTTCCAGTGTTCTTACTTGAAAATCCTACTAGGCCTTTCTAGTCCCTTCTGTATGAAACATTTTCTGAGACTCAAGCAAGTAATTTTCTTTCTATTCCAATAATATTATGCTTTGGCCTCACAGTCTTGTACAATTTATAATTAGTTGATTGATGATAATTTTCTACACCAAGATAAAGTCTTTTTAAAATGTTGGGGCACAATGGCTGATATACTCAAATATACATGTGTGTGTGTATAAAACTGAGTTTATTGGTACATTTCAGGTATACAGTACAGTTACATTCATCACTGGGCACTTGCACCGTTACGTGACAGGTCTTGGTTCTCAATCAAATATATTTGTATTGACCTAAAATTACACCATATTTATGATGAACCTTGTCCCCAAGAAAGCACTGGTTCACATAACCACAGAAATATTCTCAAAATGTAAACAAAGGACTTTGCTTTATGTAGGTTTATGCAGAGTACAAAAATAAGTATCAAAAAAGCAAAAGAACAGAAATAATAACAAGCAGCTGGGATTGCTTGGGATTTACTTAAGAGTAAAAGTGTACTCTACAAAGCTTATTAAAATTTAAAAAGTCATAGAATATGTACTATAAATCACTCAATTTCTAATATTTTTCTTGAGGTGTTTTAATTATTAATTTTGTCCATATAAAGCCAAAGAAACATTAAGTTAGAATCATCTTTATCAAACATTAACTTGTTTTATTTCTCTTTTCTATCTCTAGTCGTGAGTGCTTAACCTGGCCTGGTCATGGCCCCCTCTGAGAGTCTACAGAGCACTGCGAAGGAGCAGGCGTACATCCCACAGACTTCACAGTTCTCTACTGGTGACCGGCCGAAATCCACCCGAGGTCTGGAATGTGCCTGGCCCTTCGCTGCACTTACTTGATATAATTTAAACACGTTTTACACTTCTCCATCGAGCCAGGTTTCCTTTACTTCCAAAATGAATTTAACCAAGTACTTTTTAAGACTTTAGCAATAAATATACATAATGAATCAAATATGCTTACTGAGTTAAATTAAATAAAGTAAGTTTTATTAAAATTTGAATTTAGGGCCATCTGAGAATTTTTTTAAAAGCTTGAATAAGGCAGTAATTCATTTAAAAAGAAAATCAGAAAATTAAACTCACTAAATTTTAAAAACCAAAAAATAAAGAAGTTGAAGATTCTAAGAATTATGATACAAATACTGTTCAAAGACCTAACTAGATCACTAATGCAATTTCTAGACACATTATGATTCTTAAAATAACATCTAGAGGCAACACAAAATTATTCATTGCTCATTATTATAATGAATTATCTTTCTGCTATATTAAATTAGTCTGAATGTCCCCTTTCAGGAACTGCTAGATTCACAAAGAGTACCATGAAAGGAAGACAAAATAACCAACCTGTAAGTAAACCTACAGATATTAAAAACTGTTCGCAACAACTTATTGCAAATCCTTCTGCTCTGTCTCTAACATTATTAACATTCTGCCTATTTTACAGCTCCTACAATACACCAGTATTATTTAACTGTCATAAAATATACTCCTGAAATGTGAAAATGTTCCAATGAAATATTTGATAATTATTTTACGTTACCTATTAAAACAGAATCTGCACGCTCTTTTCTCTTTATGCCACTTTCGTTTAACCATGTACTATCAATGGATGTCAAGTGGCCTGTTTCTCACCCGCTGCAGTCGGTGTAAAGGCCACTATCTTCACACAACTTCCCAGTGCGTGCTGAAACCCTTCTCCTTCACGCTGCGCTTCTACTATGGGAGGGGTCTGCCCTTTTGCTCTTGCTCTGACCTGCATAATCGTGCCCATTTCTCAAAGTCCAGCTTAAGTCCCATACGCTCAACAAAACTTTGAAAGCAAACTACTGGAATTGACTTATTTCTGTGCTGCTGATTTGCTTAATTATTAAGCAATTAAGTATAAATTATTGGGGAGCCAAAAGACCCTTTTCAAATGCTAAGATCTTAATTTTTTAGTACATATCGTGACATTGTGATGAAATAATTATAGGTATGCCTGCATATTTTGATACTGACTTTCTGACAGGAAATATAAAAATTAATTGGAGACACCAGTTATTCGGACAACTCTATAAGGCTGGTACTCATAATTTTGTAAATAAATCAATCATCAAAGAGGTTATTTTCCCTAAGACACATTTGTTAGCAAGATGTAAAATTCTACATTTGAATCCAAAGGTATCTGTTCTAAATCCTATGAAAAAGAGAACATTAATAAAATACTATTCTGATACAGTGCATCAATTCTTACTGACAAGAAAGGTTAGTGTCTCTCTCTCACACTACCTAAAATGTACTATCTCAAAGAAATTCTCCTTTAGGCTTTTTAAGCAATAGCATTATTGACTGATTCTATAAAATACTATTCAAGAAAATTCAGGCAAGAAAACTAGAGTATAACTACTTTCTAAATACTATATTAAAACTATAATGCTCTCAAATATATCTTAGTATTGAAAATCCTTTATATTAGGCTAAAGCAGAAATGAAAGCCTACTTAATAAAGTGAGAGACTATGTACACTACTGTAAATGTTAATGAATAATGGTAGCATACATAAGCTAAAAACTAATATTAAAGAAATTGTTGTTTTACTTCTACCTAAATGAAATTCTATTGTACTTGTTTCAAAACAGGATCTTAAGGCAGATCCCACCTAAGAATAACTGATCTGGCAATCTTCAACACACTAAAAAGAACAATGAAACAACAAAAATCGATTTTCTCCAAAACTTCAACAGAAAATCTTTTGAAAATTTTTTGAACTAAAAAGTCCATAAAGTTATAAAGTAAAGCAGAAAATATAATGATATGTCAGTCACAGAACTGGAATAGACATAAAGATGCATGCCACATGTAACCCCTGACGTGACGAAAATACACCACGGATTAATCACCTAGGCCAGCGCCAGGGCTGGCTGTCAACCACTGAAAGTGCCTAGGCTTTAATAGCAAATATTTTAAGGCAAGAATTTCAAGGTTTGTTGTCAGTAAGTCCAGGATCTAAAATACTGCTAAGTCTTACATTTAATACAACAACATCCAGTGTTCTATTCTACTCTTTTCTAATATTAGGTCATATTTTCTTGCCTTCACTGAAATGAAGTCTATTTTTCATTAACAGAACACTTTCTATAGATTTGAAGGAAGTATAAAATCATTTCAGACTTTGCTGTTATTTCTCCCAATACCAAACCTTCAGTGAACAAGGAGCTTTGATCTGCTAAGTAAATACTTTCCAGAACTACTCAGCTTATCAAAGTTCCCAGGCAATTAAAGCACCTCTTAAACCACCCTAATATGACTCTTTCCAACTGTTAGGCATGCCACCGCATTAAACTTACTTTCAGTTTGATAGTTTGGATAGCATCACTTTCTATAGGTAGCATATCTATGCACATAATCAGGTCTAAAGGAAGAGATCACTACAAAAAGTTAAGAACATTAAAAAAAATTAACTCTGGGGCTGGGGATTTGGCTCAGTGTTTCCTCCACCTGCCTCGCAAGTGCAAGGACCAGAGTTCAATCCCCAGTACCATAAATAAATAAATAAATAAATAAATAAATAAATATAAATAAACT